TTATTTTGAGAGAGAGCGAAATTGAGAATAAAATATCTGACTTCTCTGTATATGAAACGTACATGTTCATTCGTTAGCAAAGCCTTAACTTCTCGATGCCTCAGTTTCCTCGTCTGGGAAGAGGGGATAATCTCGCTCCGAGGGTTGTTGGGAGACCGCACGACATGCTCAACACAGTACCTCACGTGTGTGCCATTTCGGGCCCACAGTACAAACTGTTCATGTTACAATTATCCCGCGGCCCAGAGTGGGAACCTCCTGAACCTGAAGACTCCAGAGCGGAATGGGTCTCAGCCAACCTCAACTACACTTGGAACGCCATCCGACTTGGAAATGTTGGTGCTGCTCTCCTGGGCGTCCGAACTCTTGCTTCTGTGACCCAGTCGCCTTTCGGGCAAGGAAAACGGTTGAAACACTGGGGATTTTCCCCGAAAGGGAGCAAACCTGGGAAGAGGAAAAGCCACAGGAGTGAGCCAGCAGAGTGTAGGAGTGCTGAGGAGAGGAGAAAGCCCCAGTTCACCCCCCAGGCCTCGTGCTTGCAGCCCAGCCCCCACCCTGCGCCCACCCCGCTGACGCGTTCGCTGGCCGCTCACAGCTCCTTCCCACCGTCCGGGGGTCCCTGATCCACCACCTACACCCCCTTCCTGGGACCCCCTCTGGCCATCTGCCTTGTGTCTGTTATCTCAGAGCGAGACATTCAGGAGAGGACCCGTCTTTAAGAAATGGGGACCCCGGGGCCCCTGGGTGGCTCAGTCCGTAAGCGTCCGGCTTCGACTCAGGTCATGATCTCATGGTTCGTGAGTTCGAGCCCCGCGTCGGGCTCTGTGCTGACAGCGGGGAGGCTGCTTGGGATTCTCTCTCTCCCTCTCTCTCCGCCCCTCCCCCCGCTCATGCTCCCTCACGCTCTCTCAAAAAAAAAAAAAAAGAAATGGGCACCCCCTGTCAAACTGGGAGCCTTCAGGCAGATATGGCTTTGAAAGTGCTCATTTTCCGTGTGTGATAGGGAAGCTCGCCCTACGCCAAGTTCAGAAAGCCATGTGAGCTGTGTGGGACTCTGTGAAGTAAAGCTTGAGTCAGAAGTTCATTACCCACATCTCCAGCAGAGGCAACAGAATCAAAACTGATTCACTACAGATGATCTCACGGCTTAGCAAAGGGCAAGAGAGCGCTGGTGACAGACGAGGCGCTTACCCACATCCACGGCCTGACCCTGTCTCAGCCCGACGGCAAAGAGAAGGACGCCTGTCTTAGGAGTTTGCAGCCCTGGGGGGCTCACACGACCGCTTACTTGCTCAGTGCACGCACTACACTGCCACTAGAACCACCTTTCTAACACTGTTCCCATCACGGTCCTCGGCAGCTTCAACCACGGAGTCTCCGCCTTAAATACGGGCATCTTCACGTGGCAGTCAAGGCTCTTCCCAATATGGCCCTGAGCTCTGAGCGCATCACGCTCCCGCCAGTAGCAGAACATAGCTAACCCCCCTGACACACTCGACCTGGAGTTCTCTTTCCTTTTATTCTCAAAACCTACTTCTAAACGAGACAAGCGTTGGTGAAGGTGTGGAGAAATTGGCGGGAACGTAGAATGGTGCCACCGCCATGGCGGTTCCTCAAAACCTAGAAGGAGAACAACGACCCTGTGATCCAGTAGTCTCGCTTCCAGTGTGTATATACCCGAGAGAAATCAGGATCACGAAGAGATATCTGCACTCCCGTGTTCGTTGCAGCATTGTTTACCATAACAATAACTTGAAAACCAGGTGGGGCGCCTGGGTGGCTCCGTCGGTTAAGCATCTGACTTCGGCTCAGGTCATGATCTCACAGTTTGTGGGTTCGAGCCCCGTGTTGGGCTGTGTGCTGACAGCTCAGAGCCTGGAGTCTGTTTCAGATTCTGTGTGTGTGTGTGTGTGTGTGTGTGTGTGTGTGTGTGTGTCTGTGTCCCTCCCACTGCTTGTGCTCTGTCTCTTTCTGTCTCTCAAAAATAAATAAATGTTAAAAAAAAACTTTAAAATAATTTAAGTGTCCAACGATGGATGAATGGATAAACAAAGTGTAGCATACACACACGGTGGAATACTCTACAGCCTTCAAAAAGAAGGAAATCCTGCCATTTGCTACAACATGGATGAACTCAGAGGACAGTACACTCAGTGAAATAAGCCAGGCACAGAACAAACTACATGATCCCACGTGTATTGGGAAATCTAAACTAGTCAAACTCCCAGAAGCAGAGAGTAGAATGCTGGTCACCAAAGGGGCTGTGGGGTGTTGGTCAAAGGGCACATTATTTTTTCACTTACGCAACGTGAATGCAAGAGAGCTGCCACCCAGCACAGTGCCCAGGGTTCACGATATCGTATGGCATACTTCCAAATGCATTCGGGGGTAGACTTCCTGTTAAAGCATCCTTACCACAAAACAAAAACAAAACCCGCCCTCGTGTTACCTCTCCCGAAGTGCTATCCAGAGCCCCGTGTAAACTGGCTTCCCAGGCTTACCATAGACTTTGATAATTTTGCCAAATACATGGTTTGCTTCTCAGCTCAGAAAATCACAGTGTCCCAGAGGCTCTGGTGCCCGTCTGCCTGCCTCCCTAGCCCCGTACGCCTCAGTTTTCTCATACATTCCATAGGGATAGTAATGCTCCCTTTTCCATAGAGTTGTTCTAGGAATTAAATGTCTAATTTGTATAAAATATCTAGCATTTGTATAAAGCATATGGTTATAAAGGTTCAGTAAACGTTAACTCTTGTTATTACGCAGCACTTGTTCAGTTGTATCGCTTTGTTATTTGCATGTTTCCCCACCTAGGTTGGGAGCTACTTACGGTCAACTTCTGTATTTATCTCTGTCTTCCTGCTCCTGTGGCCAGGCAGTGAGTACATGCAATGAATTGAATTGAATTGAATTGAATTGAATTGAGGTCTCACCAGATGGTAGGAGCTACCAGCCCCCAAATTCTTCCTTCTGAAGCCATACTCCAAGGCTGGACAGGCTAACACGAATTCTCCATCTATGGACGAAAAGCAGCAGATGGGAACCAATGGAACTTGGGCTCCACCACCAAGCAGCCACTGTTCTGGTGCCTCGACCACAGATGTTAGCCAGATAGGAATTTGGGAAAGCAAGGAGCAGAGGTCTCCCTTCCAATCTGGGAACAGGGAGTTACCCTGCGTCTCCTTGGTCTGGGGATGTTTCAAGGGAGGCAGATCACTAGAAGGAGGGGATAGAAACCAAATATATGAGCTCTTTTCCTGGAAGGCAAGTTGGTGAACCCAGGACAAGGAATTCTGATATCAGACCAGGAGACAAAGAATCAATCAGTGAATTCATCCAATGAATCAATGAACTCATCCATCCAATAAGCCTGCAATTATCGACAAGAAAGCAGAGGAGGAAGAAGAGAACAGCCAGCGAGGGATCAGTGGGACCAGAGCCTCTTTCTGGTCATCAGGGGAACCCTTAGGAGACATCCTGAGTGTGGGAATTTTGTTTACAGTCCCAGGTACCTTCTGCCTCCCCCTGCTAATTGAATCATGGTCTAGCTCAGAATCACAGGCTGAAATTGACTGCAGGAGGAAAATAGGGAGAACGGTTCATTAAAATCTCTTTACGGACTTGTCTAAGTAAGCCCCTTTTGGAAGTACCACTCTCCATTGGACTAGGACAGGTCAGCCCTTGAACCGATTCCTTAACATGATGAATAATCAGTACATCCCCTTCTGCCTCCAGCGCCGAGAAGCTCCCTTCTCTACTGATTTATTCTTTCATTGACGGGAAGTAAATGTTTATACAAGACTGCTTCACCTGGGTTCCTTCCCCAGTAAGAGACATCACCTGCTCCGAATTCAACTTTTTAAAGAAGTAGGTGGCCTTCTGTTTCCCCAAGTCGGTGTTTTTCACAGCTCCACCGGAAGGGTAAATGTCTCACATCCTTGTTCCTGGTGGTAAAAGACAGTCGGCGGGTTGGCATAACATCCCGTCCGGAACACAAGTTGCTCTGTTCTTCTCTGAGGGTGCATTTGCCCACCACCTGGGTTGGTCACGCTATGCCATCAGTGTCTGTGCCCGTGGCTCTCCAGCCTTAGCGGGCTGCAGGGGCCCCTGGAGGGCTTGTGAAAGCCCAGATTGCCAGCCCCCCCCCCCACCACCACCACCCGGCATTTCTAACAAGTTCCCAATCTGCTACACAGATTGTAAAACTCAGGGCAGAGGGTGGAAGAGACACTTGCTTTTACTGATCTAACTGGTAAGACAACGTGTGGTTACATTAATTGAAACAGTACATTGGAAATGCCTCTGCTCGATTCCCCTCTGGTTTGAATGTTAGTTTAGGAAGACGTTAAGCACACACAGCGGGGGAAGGTAGCGATTCTTAAGTGCGTGTGTTTATTTGTGACTTGAGTCGGGAAAGTTTCCTGACTTCCAAAACATCCATCGGATACTAGCTGGGTTTCTATAAACCTCAGAATTCCGAGGGGATTGGACGCTGAAGAAAGAAAACGCTCCGTTCTATAGGCTATGGGAACTCTTTTTTTTTTTTTTTTTTTAATAAAGGATTCTGAAGAAGAAGAAGAAAATAAGAAAGAGGTACAAAACAGAACCATAATTCACCAGGAGGGCTGAGCAGGGAGCCTTGTTCAATATATGTAAGAGGGAAAAGAGAAGGAGAAAAATCAATCAGAACCACGTGAGTGTTGTTAGTTCTAACAATACCGCAGGTATCCAGAAGGTAATTATATGTGCATTTTATTGTAACAAATAGAGTCGTATTCTCCTCACCCTACACAATCTCTGGCAACGCAGAGGTTCTTTTACAGCGAAGTCTCCAGCCCTGAGCCTTGCCGAGTCATTAATATTTCATCTGAAAGAATGTAACATCTCGCACTGAAACCTGAGAGTAAGGTTTGGACACAGGCATCAAAGGCGAGGATATTTTACCGCCGGAATACAGTGAGTGGGAGACGATTTTTATTTTCTCTTTCTTTATCTTTTAGAAACAGGGAAGATTGACCAAGAGATTCACAAATACAACACCCCGGGATTCACCGGCTGCCTCTCCAGGGTCCAGTTCAACCAGATTGCACCTCTCAAGGCGGCCTTGAGGCAGACCAACGCCTCCGCTCACGTCCACATTCAGGGCGAGCTGGTGGAGTCCAACTGTGGGGCCTCCCCGCTGACCCTCTCACCCATGTCGTCTGCCACCGACCCCTGGCACTTAGACCACTTGGATTCAGGTAAGGCAGGCTTGGCCAGGTTGCTTTATTTCCTTAAACCTCGGTTTCTTCATCTGCAAAATGGGGTTATAACAGAACCTCGCTGGTGAGGTTGTTGGAGGATTAAGAGTGTGAAGGAATGGGTGAGCCCAAGAGTGCTTAGCACATAACCACGTGTGCAAAAGTTACCACTGTCAGCCTCGCTCGGAGCCAGAAGGAGATAAGGTAAGGCACGCGGGAACTATTGACTCATTTAAGTGGAATTAGGAGATGCTAAACCGAGGTCTGCGAGGTGACTGTCAGATGACCCGATGCGTCACTTCCCCTACTTACGCCTTTATGAGTCACTGCAGCCCCACAGTCCAAGGCCAGGGGGCAAGCTTTACCTAAAGCAACACAGAGATTCCTCTCCTGACCGTGTATCTATGTGCATAATCCCGTAGCCTTCCAGGTCCCAAGGGGTGCGTGTAAGCTTGCAAAACCCTGTGGATTTAGTCTCACTCCTGCAGGTGCCCAGACATGTAATTTGAAAGCACAGGCCTACAATAAAGGGCGACTCTTGGCTGCAAAATTAATTGGGAGGAACTTCACGGTCCCCATGACAGCGAGTGGTGGAGAGCCATAGGTCTTTGTTCTCTGCTCTACTCAGCCTGACCTTGGGTCCGTTGGATCACCTCTCCAAGCCTGTACTTTGTCACCATGAGGTGAAGAGTGGGGTGCGATCTCCACAGCACCTCCACATAAGAGCCCGTGGGTGTCCGAAGCAATGTGTAATGTTCCCCAAGCTAAAAACAGGAAGAGGACGGTGGAGGCAATGTGGCTGGAGGCCTGGGTTCCAGCACTATCACTGCCTCTCATTAGCAGGTTAAACATAGACCTGTTTCCTCAGTTTCCTCGTGAATAAAATGGGAGTCATAAGAGGCACCTGGGTGGCTCAGTCAGTTAAGTGTCCGACTCTTGATTGGGGTTCAGGTCATGATCTCACGGTTCGTGGGATCGAGCCCCATGTTGGGCTCCATGCTGACAGCAAGGAGCCTGCTTAAGACTCTCTCTCCCTCTCTGCCCCTCCCCTGCTCATGTTCTCTCTCTGTGTCTCCTGCTTGAGATTCTCTCTCCCTCTCTCTCTGCCCCTCCCCTGCTCGTGTTCTCTCCCTCTGTGTCAAAATAAATAAACATTTTTTTAATGGAGATTATAAGACCCAGTTCACAGAATTCTACATGGGATGATATATTGAAAGCAGTTAAAATGGTGATAGACACGTAGCAAGCTTTTAAAAAGTTTAGCGGCAATAATGTTGTTATCGCGTTAGACACGATTTGCCATGATGCTTGAATGTCCAGTAAAGGCTCCCAAACCCTCCCCAACCCTAACTTCTGATCCATAACTGTTCATCATGTAAACATCATGTGTTTGATTACTTTACGCATACTCCAGCCTGTACCCCGTGTTTATCAGTTTCGGTGCCCTTCTCGTCACTGTGATTCCTTGCCGGGATTTGTGCCGCTAAGCTTTACAAAGCTTTGAAAAAAGCCAGAATTGCCCCACTGGCAGAATAGCCAATTTACAGATGAAACAATCCTCTTTGTTCCTCGCACATGGATTCCTATAACATGATGAGGGGTGCTGTGTGCCAAGGGCACTTATAAAGAATTCTCTTTTATGACTGTTGTCAGGATTACGCAGCAGGCTGGTTTTTCCTCTTGGGCTGACCTGAACAAAAGAAAGCATTCCTAATGCCAAAAGAAGAAAAGGAGGAGTGAAAATATGAGCTGAGAAAAGACCTATGTCAGGACCATAGAGGAACAGAGATTTCTCAGATAAATTCCTCCAGATGCCAGAGCAGACCAAGGCAACACAGGATCTTTGAAACGCTCAGGCTCTTGGGCTGCTACAGGTGCACGAGTCGTGAGCGTGTGTGGTCTAAGTCGGCTGCCAAGAGGCCAGTTTCAAAAGCCTCTAGATGCTACTTTGGGCCGATAGGAGCTCACATTCAGTGTGCTTTAATTAGTAAAGTGCCTGCTTTACGGTCTGAGAGATACAGTTGTAGGGGCCAGAGAGTTTGAGTTCATTTGTTGTTTAAAAATCACGCTTTCCGCGGGACAGTCTCATTCTTTTTGACGGATATGATGAAAATGTGTGTAGGGAACGTTACTGCAACCCAGATATCATGGTTGCACTACGTCATCTAAGGTCCCTTTTGCAGAAAATTTCCACTGGCACTGGGGCACAGCTCTCCCCTGGTGTTGACCGGTCACTGCATGGATCTCATCAGCCACTTCCATGATTGGGGGAATGCTTTTAAAGGAGTATGTGTGTCTGTCTCATGAGCTTTATTAAAGGGACAGAAAACAGCTTATGACCTATGAGGCAGAAGGCTTATTTAGATAACAAGATTTGATTTCTTTTTTTCTTTTAGGTAAATGAGAGAGAATGGGGGTGGCGGGCTGAATAGGGAACAGAGAAAGACCCAGATAAGGGGAGGTTACTTAATAGCAGCCTCCAGTGGCGTAGTGTCAGAGAGGAAGACCTTTTCCTCTATTCTCTTATGTTATATCCACGGGGGCCTGCAAATTAAACTGATAAAAAGCAGATTAACAGGAGAAGAAATGTATTCGTATGCGTTCAGGGGCTTACAAGAGAAAAACTCAATAAATGGCTGAAGCCAGATGCTTAAATGCCTTACATAGTAGAGAAAAGGCCTCTATAGGAATAACAAGTGGGTTTCTAAAAGAAAAAAAAAAAACAGGAGATAAGAAAGTGTGATAATGCTTGTTCATACAAATATGAATGGTCTTTCTGGCTTCTTCAAGGCCATTAAAGTCCCCTGGAGAGAGCACTTGTAGTAAGTTTACTCTCAGTCTCCTTCCTGGAAGTAAAAGCCACCCAGAAGAGAGAATGGCAGTCTCATTTCCCAGAAATTCCTACTTTTAGTCAGATAAAGGAAATTCCAAAAAGATTTCTTTCTATATCTGATGCATCCCAAACGTCCTCAGCTTCAAATCCTCTTTGTACCAATTCTGGGGTTCTAAGTGAGCCCCTATATCAGCAATTTGCCCCCTACTTTGGGGGGAGCCTTTTGCTTTCTTTCAGATGACCTTTCTTACTCTATTTCCACATGAATCTTCGCTGTCAGACATTCAGAAACGACAGTATATACACAAAACTACCATCATCGCCTGTAAGTCGTGTGCTGCCCGAGTCTCCGTAGGTACAGGACAGGACAAGAGTGAAAGTGAGAGCTAATTAGTCCTGGTTTGAGAAAAAGGACACTTAGAAGTAGATCGATTCATCTAGAGCCTTAGAAAGTGTGGTCCTCCACCAGCCACGTATTTCCCTGGAAGCTTGTTAGAAATGCAGAATCTGGGGCACCTGGGGGGCTCAGCCAGTTAAGCGTCTGACTTTGGCTCAGGTCATGATCTCACAGTTCGTGGGTTCAAGCCCCGGTTCGGGCTCTGTGCTGACAGCTCGGAGCCTGGAGCCTGCTTCGGATTCTGTGTCTCCCTCTTTCTCTGCCCCTCCCCTGCTATCTCTGTCTCTCTCTAAAATATAAAAACGTTTTTAAAATTCTTAAAAAAAAAAAAAGAAAGAAATGCAGACTCCCAGGCCCCCACCTCAGCTGCACCAAATCAGCATCTACATTTTAGCAAGATTCCCAGGTGACTCATGCACATTAAAGTTTGAAGCACTTATCCGATGCAGTGGTTCTCGCTCTCAGATGCACCTTTGACTAACCTGGTCAGCTTTTAAAAATCCCGACATCCAAGCTGCACTCGTGACCAGTTAAGGCAAGCACTCTGGAGGTTTGTATGAAGCCGTTACGTGGTGAAATCACAAATTAAAAGGCCATAGTGGTAAGCTTACAAAAGGCTGGGTTCCTCTGACCATTTTGTTAGGAAGCTCACCAAGGCAGAGAAGTCCCATCGGCCTACTTACAACTGGAAAAATAGACTGAAGCCAAACAAACACGAAGCCCACCGAGTGGGGCCACAATCCGTGGCTCTCACGTAAGTGTGTCATGATAGAAATGGCTGCACCCAGGAAGGGGCCTCAGTTTGAGGAAAATGTCAAATTATTTTTTCAGTGTTTTGAATGAGCTGGCAAACTTAATATGAAAAGATATGGGGGGGGGGAATGCTGCTTTAAAATAAAGTAGGTGCATTTATGGAGAATAGGGAGTCCTTAGGATTACAGGGATCTTAGTGACGAAGTAGGTCTACTCACTACATACTCACCCCAGGACATTTGCTTTGCAGAGACCTGGAAATCAGAATTCACAACCTCCACTCTTAGATCTTGTTTTCTTTCTGCTCTCTTACATTTTCTTACATCTTCGATGATGCCAAATGACAGACCCAGCAAAATGTGTTCCAAGGGATGCTGGCTTAATGCGATACGATCCTTTTTCTCTTCCATGACATGCTAAGCTATCCATTCCCTCTGTAAAGCCTTTTGGGGCTCTGTCACTGTTTTCCTAAGTGAGGGACATTGATGGTTGGTCAGGCTGTGCACTGCAAAACTCTAAGGGATGCCATTTGCATTGCAGTCTGTGGCCCCTGGAGCAGTGCAACATGGGGGCCTCGATAGGGGGTCGCTAGATCCTTACGGGAAGAAAAGAGACAAGGCGTTATACAACATAGTGTTGTTTCCTGTTCACTTCTCTTTCAGGCCTTCCAATCTCGTCAAAGAGAAAGTCTCCATGTAGCTCTAGGCCTGCCACCCTTGCTAATAAAAAAGAACAGTCTTGACAGGCAATGGAATTACCTGGTAGGGATATAAAGTGTAATCAGTGCATTTACTCATCTAAGAAATTGGGTCAATTTAGGGGCATCTCTGTGGCTCATTCGAAGTGTCCAACTTTGGCTCAGGTCATGATCTCACGGTCCATGAGTTCGAGCCCCACGTCGGGCTCTTTGCTGGCAGCTCAGAGCCTGGAGCCTGCTTCAGATTCTGTGTCTCCCTCTCTCTCAAAAAGAAAGAAAAAGAAAGGAAGGAAGGAAGGAAGGAAGGAAGGAAGGAAGGA